TTTAGTCGCTGTCGCTGGTGTATTTCTTTGTTTTGGGTGTTGGTGTTTTGAGTCTAAGACGGAGAGAAGAGGTTTTCTTTTTGTCTTTGTCTTTGTCTTTGTTTTTTTTCTTTTTTGCTTTTTTTGTTGCTTTTCTCTCTGTGCTGCTGTCTCTGTCTCTGTCTCTGTCTCTGTCTCCTTCTCTTTGTCTCTGTCTCTCTCTGTCTCTCTCTCTGTCTCTTTCTCTCTCTCTGTCTCTCTCTCTGTCTCTGTCTCTCTCTCTGTCTCTATACAAAGACTGCTGCCACGGCGCCAGGGTCCCCTGAGGCTCCTTCACTCCGTTCCCGCTGCTGCTGCTGCTGCTGCTGCTGCTGCTGCTGCTGCTGCTGAGGCCATTGATAGCTCCTCCACCACCGGCATTTCTTTCGGTGTTTCTTCTGCTTCTACTGCTGCTTCTGCTGCTGCTTCTGCTGCTGCTTCTGCTGCTGCTGCTGCTGCTGCTGCTGCTGCTGCTGCGTCTGTGGCTGCTTCTTGCTGCTTTCCTTGACCGTCTATCTCCTCCACTGTCTTTATCCCTGTGTCTCTTTTTACTGTCTCCTGCTGCTGCTGCTGCTGCTGCTGTTGGTGCTGCTGCTGCTTCATCTGCAGCAGGGGAGCTGCTGCTGCTCTTATCTTTTGCAGCAGCAGCAGCAGCTGCTGCTGCTGCTGCTGTCGCCCTGCAGTCTGCTACCCAGGCCTTTATCTCATCTGCTACTTTATCAGCCATGGAGACACCGGGGAGCGTAGCAGCAAACACGAGCTGCACAGCAGCAGCAGCAGCAGCAGCAGCAGCAACAGCAGCAGCAGCAGCAGCAACAGCAGCAGCAGCAGCAGCAGTAACAAGCAACAGAAAATGAGTTGAACAAGGAAAGGAGACACCCAACATGTCAGCAGCAACGAGGAGATACATGAAGACCTATTTATACATATAATATAATATTTTTATAATATATATATATATATATATATATATATATATATATATATATATATATATATATATATATAT